TCAGATCTGGGTATCTGCAGATACAGGAAAATTCATGATCTGAGCTAATCTGCAGAAGCTGTGAAAGTCGAAGGCTTCATTTTGTCAAGAACAAAAGGGTTCAAGAAAACCAAAATACCAAGTTCCGCAGTGTTTTAAGCAGAAAGGAAAGCGGGTTAAGGCCAAAGCTTGGAAATAGTCAGGATCTTTTAAACTGAAGAGTACTTAAGGTAAAAAAGAGGTCTCAGCCATTAGACTATTTTAACAGCTAGAGGAATGAAGTAGCTTTTGTACCTCCAAAAATACCTTGTTTTACCATTTTTCTGCTGCCAATATTTCCTGTGGGAGAGGAAAGCCGTGAAAACTGTGATCAGATATGTAATGATACGTGGTATTTATTACAAACCTTCTTAATTTGAACTAAGTCTTCCTGTGCGTATTGAGTCAGATTTTTCAGACCAAGCCTCCAATACTTTATATTTAGTCTCTCCAATACTATATCTTTAAGCTGTGTGTCTGAGGTGTAAAGTAGCCCTTTGTATGTCGAGTCTGAAAGTGTGCCTCTGCTGGCTAGGTGTTATCAGCTGGATACTGAGCTTCTTAGCGGGAAAGAAGCGATCAATGTGTAATTGAAACTCCTTTAAGCTGAGTTTTTAGGAGAATTTATAACCTGCAAGAAATGTTCTCATTGCAAATCCTTTTCTTTTGTCTTTCTTTATAATCACCTTTAAAGAATGACCTGACCACCGTCAGTTAAAGGAAGAGGATTTGAGTTTTAAAGCTGAGCAGAGATTCCTGCGTTTTGGCAATTTTTGGGGTGGAGGGGATTGCCATTAAATATAGTTTGTACTATATCATCATTTATTCAAGTTGACAAAATCCACATTAAATTTCTGGTGAAACCTGGTCTGCTGTAGAACACTATTAGAGTACTTATTAGTAGTACATTTTTCATCATGGATATAACCTGAATATCCTAATTTATGACCATCTGGTCTCCAGTCAAGAACAGCCCGTATGATCAAAATGCAGCTTCCCTAGATCAGCTAATATATCCATGCTGTGACTTAAAGAAGACGACACAGTACTCTGTAAAAAGCCTTGAGCACCTCTAAGGGAACTTTGAGAAGAGGGGGGTACCCTTCCCTATCCTTGCACAATGCACCCAGCAGGGCCAGTCATTGTATCTGTTTATTCATTGGTGTTTGTTAATGGTAACGTTCATTTCATTTAGGATTTGATTTGTTTACGAACTAATAAATATGATTTATAAAAAGTGCGTGTGGTTCACTAATTACTGCACATATGGCGTTTTCATTTTGTAAAACTGGCATTTGCTTTCTATTATGATTATGTCTCCGTTCACCAGTGCTAATTAGTTTGATTAGACAGATAACTTTAACCACTATTAGGACTAGATTAGGGGAACTTTGCATGCAGGGCAATGCAAGGAAGAAAGGTTCATCACCAGTGAAGATAGGTCAGCAACACAGAGTTTGTTCCTCATTAAATATTTTAAGATTAGTTTTTGTTTTGTTTTCCACATAGGAGAACTGAGAAGCATTCACATTTAGCTACTTAGAAAAATCCAATTAAACACAGTTGTTTAGCATGAATTTGTTAATCAGAGTTAATCTTTCCAATGAATGCATAATTTGGAATCTGTGTCTAAAATGTTCATTTAAGGATAAGCATATTACAGACAAATAAAATAAAATATAAAATGAGATTCTCTCCCTTGGAATTGAGTCTCAATATGGAGAAATATCGACTGTTTTGTGTTGATTGTCCTGCATGCTGAGTGAGGGACAGAAGTGAAATTGGATAAAGACAAGAAATGCCACATGGAAACCAGTGCCACCTGGGGTGGGCTGTGTTTTTCCCAAGAGTCTCTGAAGATTAGTTGAATAGTGTCATCAGAATGAAAATAAATAAATAAAGACTCCTATTTATTATCTGTTCTAGGATAAAAATAATTATTCAAGGTAGCAGAAGTTTGATATTGTTTTATTTCTTCAAGTGGATTCTCTATCCTAAAAAAGAGGCACTTTTTCTTTACCAATATGTTAGAAATTATCTTATTGCACTAAGAAGGTAGGATGTGAAATACTTCCTCTAGAAAGGAGAGTGATACTCAAGTAACTGTGGATGCTTGTTTCTTTAAGATGGCCACTCATTTGACTCTGGACGATCACCCTGTATTCATCTAATTTCTCTGTGATTAACTGGTTTGGTAGGAGAGTCAGAATAGTGCCCTGCTATGGATGCAGGGTACTGTTGCATCTACTGTGTCTCTCCTTGCTGTGTTTAAGTGCCAGTGCCATTTGTGAGTGGCCCTTTTATTTTTTGTCTTTCTTCATTTTCAAAGCAATTTATAAGGGAACAGAAAAGTTCTTTCCCATCTAAAAAGAATTGTGGGAATATTGAAAAAGACATAAAACTACTATTGAAGGGTGAACACATAGAGAAGCAGTAAAGTAGATTGTTGCAGTATTTACTCTCTCCTTGGCTCTTCTGGAGGATGCCTCCTGCCATGCCTTTCAAAGAAAACCCCAGACAATTTAAATGTCAAAGTCTCAAATTTCAACATGTATCATTATTGTTGGAAGCATTTGCTCCAGGAAAAGTTTTAAAATTGCCATTTCTGAATCTTAAAAGAATGTGAACAGGATGGCCAGATTCTGAGATGGTATAAATTGGCAGAGATTCCTTATTTCAATGTAGCTATCCTGTTTTACACCAACTGAAAATCTGGCCCTGGAGAATGAATATTTATGCCATGCCAGAGAGGTTTGAAAACCCTTTTTTTTTTTTTTTAAATGAGAATGAATAAAGAAAGGGCTGGGATATGCTCTGTGCTGATGAACCCAAAGCCAAATATGACCTCCCCTTGACCTTTTATGCATTTAAGTTGAAACAGGCCATTCTGATACATTCCACTGGAGCTTAAAATGCCTATATTTCAATTCCAAAGGTCAAGCTCTCTTCTCTGTATACTGTATGACCCAGCCTTTGTCTGCTGCCCATTCATGCTGCCTGACTATGCTTCTTATATCCCATTGACTGTTTACTGTTTTTCTAGCTAATGTAAGTGAAAGAGATAATTTAGATGATTTTGAGCTATGTGTCAGTTCTGATTTTGATTGTGTCTCCTGTGTTTGGTGCAGCTTTAGTGGTTCCAAACTCATTAAGTCTCTGGGAAATTTTAGATTACTGTGTTAACTATATCTTAGTCACTGTATTTATCTTAAATTCCATTCAAGTGTGTTTGAAATTTTCTTTTATAATTATGTCTAACTCTAATATTGGTGAATTAAGCAATTTTTTTCTTCAAACCTGCTGTTTCCTTTTACTTTCTGACAACTTTGGATACTTTTTTTTTAATGTCCGAAGTGAAAGGGAACTATTTCCAGGAAATGATGCTTCATACATGTTTTAAAGCAAATCACCACATCCTCAGTGGATGTAAGCACAGCTCCACTGGTATGAAGGGGCAGGAACGGGCACGTTTTCAAAGCTGCCTGAAACTTTGCACCAGTGGAGCTGTGTCAATTTACATCATTGATGGTCTGGTCCAAAATAAAAACATGGTCGGACTTCTGTGGCTAGCAAAGCACATGCCTACCTTTCTCTGGACTTGAAACAGCCACTATACTCAGTGGTTCCCAAAAAAGGCTACAAATGCAATCCCATCAAACAGGCTGACAGGCCTTGAGTATAATTTCTCTAGATAGAATCACGAAGTAATCATCATCTCAGATAATCTCTCCAATTACTTTATAGAATAATAGTTTATTATAAAATCTGTTTTAGCAGACTGTCTATTTTTACCCTCTCCCATTGAAAACGAAGCCAAACATAGAAGAACTGTGGAATATTTTTGCAAAGCTGAGAGAATGCTCCTACATAGTAACATAACCAATCACAAGGGTGTTTTAACAGATATATTGTAATTTCTGTCAGTTAACACAGCTTAGTGAACCACTGGTGATGAATAATTTACTAAGGGCCCTAACCGGACACTGCACAGTCCTCAATAAACCTGGACCAGATGCTCTTTTCCCACCCCTTGGCCATGTTTAGGTTTCCCTCCAGTGATCAAATGAGAGGGAATCCAGTCCAACTGGAAAGATAAGACACAGACTCCTTCCAGTGTGAGGAGAATTGATAAGGAGCAGATCAATACATAATCCTCTTCAGTGGGCAGCAAGGCCTACACTTCCAACAGTGGGACATCCCCTCCTTTTCTCCTTCTGCTAAATTGCAAAATATCTATAGTGGAAAGAATGTAACACTGCTGTTAGGTGGTAGAAACCAAACAGAAATATAATGGGAGGGGGAAATGTATATGTATGTATTGAACAAAGGTAAAACAGTGTATTTTTCTTTAATTTCATTCTTGGAAGGGGCACTAGGCTTTGGTGATAGCTTTAACAAAGTGGTGCATATCCAGGATACCAATTCCAGCCTGAATTGGTAATATTTGGCAAAATTAAAAGCAACCTGGAATTGCTGGGAAGTGTCAGGCAGCATTAAGAGTTGGCAATGCTACCAGCTGCAATTAAAATGAAAGCCTATTAGGCTCCTGACCACGGAAAACCACTTGGACAAGCACACCTACACACAGCTCATGTAAATAGGTGGAATTCTGTTAAAACCAGTATAACTGCAATTATATACACTGTCAGAGCACTTGGAACTATGTCTTTAGTACTTTTCTCTGTTTCAGCTATTTGTTTCAGCTATGAGATGAAAACTGACTCATCTTACATTTGTACCTGCTGAGCAGCATTGAAAGGACTATTTGTAATCACAATTCATTCCCAGAACTCAGAGAGTAAATATCACTGAAGCACTTGTATGTCTGGCTCTCGATGTCTTCAGCCATGTCTCTACTTTCCCTTGAAGGATTCATCCATTGGTTGCTCACTCTGTGGTCGGCCTCTGGAGCTCCAGAAGTCTCTGGTGGCAGCAGCAGCCTGAACTGCCTTTTTGAGAACTTTCCATCTATTTTATTTCAGGTACTTCCCAGGCTCTGTCTCCCAGACCTTGGACTGCCATATTAGGACAGTGGCTCTGCCCAGTTCAGCTTTCCTGAAAGGGACAGAAGACAAAGTAAGTGCTAATTATTGCTTTTCTTTGTAAGCTGATTTTTGCTTGGTATTTTGATAGAAACATCAGCATAAACACCACTGAAAGCTCGGTGGGAAGGAGGTTAACCCTGTTTTTTGCCTTTGTTGCTCAAAGCGCAGATATTTGGAGTATCTGCTTGGAGTATCAACCTACTCGGAGTATCTACTTGGAGTATCAATCAGGTTAAACCAAATAAAGGTTTATTCCCCACAACCACCCCCAAACTCCTGTTCATTGTGAAAGGAAGAGGTTTGATGACTGAGCTGATTGCGTGAGTCAAGGAAAGAAGGATAAGTAATTCTTGTCCCTTGGATTAAGCAAGCTAATTTTCTGAACTTTGCCTCGGGCTTGTATGAAGGAAGCTACTATGGGTTTCGGTCATTGTTTAATTGAGAGGAGTTGTTTAACTTTTGTTATATTTTTGCCTTAAAAAGGCAAAAGACTCCTTGGATTTGTTTGTTATTATTTCATAGCAGCAGCCATAGTGTGTGACATGTTTCCCAATCAGAAAGTAAATTTATGAGAGAATTATGTGATGTTAAGCCTACGATACTCAGACTGGACTCAGAGATCCAGTGCTGGTCCTGAATGCCAAGGTCCAGCCCTCTCTCCTACATTTCTGAGAAAGAGGAGCTCATAAGGCCATGACAGTTGATTCTGGTAATGCAAAAGGATAAAAGATACTTTATGAATACAAGTAATTTCTCTATAGGCAACAAGGCAAAACAAAAATTGCATTAAATTAAAAATGCATAGAAAATGTAGTTAAATCTGAATGTAAGGGTGCAGAATCCTTTCCTCTGAACAACCTGTAGCAGGAGAATAGATGGTGTTTGGGGGTTTATCAAGGTTTTTGTCTATCTATTATACTCTTATCCTGTGTATTATTTTTCCTCTTCTACTTTGACGTTATTTTCCAGGCAGTTTTCATTTTGCCCTTCACAAGTTGTGTTGTGTGCACTGAGTCATGGACTTGTGTTTTCAGAAAGGTTGTCAGTCATAGCTATTCTCATGCAGCAATGATATGATTAGCTCTGTTTTTTACTGTAAAGTATTAATTTAAGCAAAGTTTGAACACAATGAGAAAAGAAGCATCAGTGGATGAATGTGCCAGCTTAAGAGCAGAGATACTGTCTTGTATGAATGGTTTCCTTCCTTTGGGATTGTGGGAAAGGATGGCAAAGAAAAGCAACCCCACATCTGAGAGATCCCCAGGTAGTGATGTTCATGGGAATATCTTAATAGGCCTTAGCCTAACCAGTGCCTGGGGAGGTTGAGAGCACAAGGCCCTCCACAGCCCAGTCATCTCAGAAACCTGGTCGTGGGATTCCCAGTCTCACATGATCTTCCTGGGATCTGCTCTGTAGGCTGAATTCTGTCTGGTTTGGGAGGTCAGTAAGAAGCCTGGTTTGCAGGTGTCTCCAGGGGTTTCTCCCAGCAGTTATCACACACATACCTGCAGTGATGAGGGCTGCCAAAAAACAGAGCAGAAGAGGTGGATCTGCGTGGGCCCCTAAGTGAGCCACCATTGCCATAACCTGGTGTGTCTCAGTGCTGCCTCTTTCTTCCACTCTCTCTCCCGTACCTGAAATTTGATTGGTAACCGACCAATATGGGCTGAAAAAGTGGTGTCAGCCTGAGCTGTGAATTGACCTGCTTTTGTCAGTTTGTCACAGTTTTATTGCTGTTTTAGCACAATGTGTGTGAGTTAAAGCCCAGCACTTCTGTCACCTAGAGAAAAGCCTTGCAGGCTGGTGTCTTCAGGAACAGTTTCCAAGTGCAGAGGAGCCAGAGGTTCCCTTTCTAGGGACCAGCTAGTCCAAACTCCACATTTTCTTTCTGGTCAAAGAACAACCTAAAGTCAAAACAACCTGTAGGTGTGCTGCCTCAGTGTTTACCCCCATCTCCAATACTGCCTGGAATTCACTTGCAGTGGTACTCAATAAAATTTCCTGAGAGTAAGATCAAAATTGTGTCCTTTTCTAAAGGTGACCATACTAGGTTCATCTCTTTGTAAATGTTAAGTTTATTACAGGAACAATAGACTGGATTCTTTAAATCAAAACATTTCAAATGTAGGAAATGAGGAATAAGAGAGAATTCCAAGGCCTTTTATGAAAGGCTCATCTTAAAAGCTAATTTAGGTTTCTGCACAGCAGCAAATAGATCAGACAGTTCACCCAAAACCTAGCTGAAAGGATATGTGTTTATACCTCTTATTTATACTGTGATTTCAAAATAAGTGTTTTGAACAAGCTGTGATATTTTATTTGGTTTCCTTAAGCTAAGAGTATTGCAGTGTCAGACTCTGTTTTCTTAATTGATTATAACTTTGCCATTCTCATATTGCAAAGCTTATGATGAATGAATAATGTGTTGCCCAGTGCCTCTGTAGCTTGGCCCAAAGTTTGGCTTAGAGTACCTTTTTCATATCTTTGTTTCTCAGACAAATATCTTTGCTGTTGCTTCAGATAAATGAATCATTTCCAGCAGCTCAGGATGCTCGAAAATAGTCATAATCCAGACAGCATGTCTGAGTGACCCTACAAATAGCAAACATGAGAATGCAGCTCAGCATGCATAAGCGACCTTACAATAATAACTTAGTGTGTGCAGTCCAGCAGGTGGGAAAAATCCAGAACTAGGTTGCTAAAGGAGCTGTTGAAGGTGTCATGGAAGTAACAGATCTGAGTGATTTCAGTTTTCTTAGTTTTACATGCACAAATTCTTTTTTTTTTTTTTTAATGGAGCAAATACCATTCCCTAGTTTGCAGACCTGTGTTATTTTTCATCAACAACATCCAATCTGTTGCTAAACTTGTTTTTCTGGAAGCTGTTCCTATCTCTCCAGCTCAGCTCCTAACCCATGTCTAAGTCATCTTGCACCTCACTGCTCCTCCAACTGCTCTGCTCAGATCGTGAAATCAGTTTGCAAGCAATAACCTCAACCCCTGAGTGTCCTGAACAAGCCCCAGCCATTATGAGCTTTACTCTTGGAAAGGGATAAGGTAAAGCTCAGAGTGCGTGAGACTCTAAAAATTATGAAAATGTTATTGTTGTTTCAAAATGTTATTCCCATATGCTCAGGAAACAGAATGATGATCAGGTTATATAATTGACTTTCACAAAAAATACCTGCTTGAGTAGGTAGAGTAAGGTGGAAACGGAGGGGAGGGGGTGTGGAAAAGCATTTATGTTCTAAAAATAATGCGACATTAATTTGATGGGAGGAGGAGCGAGTTGGAGGGAGATGCTGAGAGCGGCGATGGTCCAGCGGGGCCGGGGCGGACACCTAGTGGTGGGCAGCGCTGGTTACAGGGGCTGGAGCAGTGCCTGGGGAAGCAAACTCTTCCTTCCCGGCAACGGCCACATCCTCAATCTCATCCACATCCTGATTTACAGGTCCCCTTCCCTTCTTCCTGCGCATCCTTCCTTCAGGAGGGAGCCCAGAGGCTCATTCCAAGCGAGCTCAGAAAAGGGGCAAGGAAATATTCCAGATTAAACTGTTCATATTCTCCTAACCTGGCCCTCAGTTATTCCCTATCATTATTTCCTTCATGTTCACTGCACTGTACATCCCGTAGTGTTTGATTTTTTTTTAATAATCTTAAGTAGAGATTTAATTGCGCAACAGCTCATTTCCCAAAGAATTACATTTGTCCAGAGGGCTGCTGTCACCAGGGGTGTCACCTTCCTGAGATATCCTGCCTCTAACCAACTTCCCTGAAGGACTTCTCCAGCCTCCTTGATGAGCCACAGTCTCTTGAGGATATACGTAATAAGGTTGCTGAGAATTAATGTAGAATACTCAGTAATATAAAATACTTAGTATCCCTGTAAGCCTCAACTGAACAAATGGACTAGTTCAGGCCAGAAAGGAGACTGAGCAATAATTGCATGCAGTGTGGTGGTAATTGTGGTTTAGATTGTTCCCTGCTCATATCAAAACTTTAAATTGCAGGGAAAATGTTCCACAAACCTTAGATTTCCCTCTATCTACCCCCACTTAGACCAAATAGAGTATTTATTCCTTATACTTCTTTTTGTCTGTCTATCTGTCTTTCTCAAAACAAAAGGCAGGACCAACCCAGTCAGATGCAGTGAAACAAGAAAATGTTCAGATATTTTAATATGCTAGAGCTACCCCTTGGCAGATAAAATGACTAAAAATGAAAATTTAAACACATCTGATTTACCTGTTGTTTTTGTGACTCAAATACCTATGTTTAATTTTGTCTATGGATTGGAAAAAGTTAATTTCAAGCCTTGTTTCTCTTGCTAGCAGCAACAACCTTTTAAACTGAGTATTACTGGTGAACCATATAGAGCTGGTTAAAAAAAATGCTTTTCACTTCCACCATGCAGTTGTTCGGACGACAATTATGGCAGCTGAAGTTTAATCATAGTGTTTGATAGCTCATTTTCTCAATGTCAACACGAGGCACTGTTAAAAAAAATGAATTCTTTCATTTGATAAGCTGGCTCCAGAGCACTGGGCTCATTCAATAGGAAAACTCTTTCACAGGGCTGCAGCATGCATGGTTTTTCTCTTTCCTTTTTTTTTTTCCCTTTCCTTTTTTTTTTCTTTCTTTTTTTTTTTTTTCCTGAAAGCCACCCAAGAAGAGATTAATCACAAGGGGGAAACTCAGCTTCACCCTCTAGCTGCAGGTCGCAATTTTTATTTGTATGGAATTGGCTTTTGGAAAGCTGAAGGCTGCCTGAGGGCAGGGACCTGATATAAGAAGAACCTGAGAATGAAGCAGCAGGGATTGATTAGCCTACTTCATATCCCACACTCCATAAGCACACTCCAACCGCAATCTAACACACCGCTGAGCTGAATAGACAAGAGAAATTGGATTCTTTCCTAATATTTAACCTTCAAGTCAGCTCCAACAGTTGTTGATATGTTGTTCTACCAGCAAGTAACAGTCGCTTTTTTATTCCAGCACCCACCCACACACATATATATACAGTTTTAT